AATAGTATGCTACCTTGTAATGGATGATTTGACTTTAAATGCAAAGTAGGAATGACAAGATATGTTGATAGATATTTGGATATCCAAAGTTGGCTTCCTTTAACAACAATATACAAAGACTTGGTGAAGTCTAAAGAAAGTAGTTTTCTTGAGGCGGAATAAAAAATCCTTGACTAAGGAACTTACGAAGGAACTGATGAAGGATTCCAAAAGTACTTGGAATTCTTCATCCTTGACGATTAGATCTATCATCTTCAAAACCTTCTTTAGATCCCAAGTCTTTGGTAACTTTTTCAAAAAAAATTAATTTTTTTCCTGAAGCTACTTATATATCATATTCCAAAGCAGTATGTGGTTTATTCTCTGAAAAAGATTTGATAATTCAACCTAGATGATTAGCAAATGACAAATATGAATATCTAGATGGTTTGTCTTTAGAATTTATCAAGTTGAAAGAAGATTATATTGGACATATTCTCATCAAAGTTTTGGAAGATGTTATTTCTATGGTTTTTTTTCAACCTGGTCACTACGGAAGATTGTTGCCATTCACAAATAAAGAAATAAGCACTTGGTGACAAACTATCTCACTATCATGTTTGGTAGTATTCTTGCCAAGTTGTTTGGGAAGTAGATGAAATCAAAGTTGAATTCACATACACATTGTTTTCAAAAGAGAGCAAGGATTCAAGTTGGTATTTGCCCAACATACAACATTATTGACCATATTTTGATATTACTTGTATAATGGAAAAATCTAAAATTAATGGTAAAAATTTATTTTATGCCTTCATTGATGTCAAGAAAACTTTTCACACGGTTTCTTGTAAGCTTTTATGAAAAAGGTTGCAAGAGATGGACGTATCACCTTATCTTTTTGAAGTAGTGGTCACGTTATACAATTCAATTTGGACTGTTATTAGCGCTATTTAGCCTTGATAGATTTTAAGTCCATCGGGATTATTCAAGATTTTACTCTCTCTCCTACTACATTTGGAATTTTCATAAATATATGGTATATGGTAATAGATCAAGCCCGGGGGACCCAAAGGGTCAAAAGGCTGAAAAACACAATACAAGCGATAGCCACAAACAAGGGAAAAGACCCCAAAGGCCAATCCCTAGCTAGTGCCAAGAGCACTAGAACGATAACTAATAATGTCCATAATATAACATTCTAAATCAAAAAGAACTAACTGTAACAAAGAATAAAAATTCTCTACATTTATATTATGAGTCACTCTAATCATTGTATATATAGTACAAGTAAGAAATACATGCTCTTCATCTTCAACTTCTCTTCCATCACATAGCCTACAAATACGTTTACTCCTATCAACATTAAGCCAACGTACTTCCTCAATTCCAAGCCTATGAGATCCAGTTCTATGCCTAGCAATAATATGACGTAAGGACGTAGAGATTCCTACAAGTAGTTAATACTGTTCACAATAAACAAGCATAGGATTCATATGAAGTTGATAAAACTGCATCTTGGTGCCGCGCTTGCTCCAAATAATGTTCAGAAACTCCTCCTTTAGACGTTCACGTAGTGCTATAGGTTGTAGGTCCCAATCGCATTCCGTCACATTCCACCTCAAAGACCAAGTTATTATATCCGCTAACCATCCTTTGGCACATGTGGTACTCAAAGCCTGAGGAGTAAGGCGAGAAGCATCAAGAGATCTTACCCTTGTGATGTAAGTGATGGTCAAGTATAGAGCTTCAGCCTCTAGAGTTAAACAACCTATTTCTGCAAGAAGAATAGCATATGAGGTTTGGTTTCTCACACCTAATTCTTCTTGTAGAAATATCTTATGCACCCTCTCCACACGCTCCCAACCTATCTTCTTACAACCAGGACCCCACACTTGGGTTCCATACAATACTACCGGCAACACTAAGCTTCTGAATAAAAATTTCCTAAGACTCCAAGACACAAGATGAGCCCTTCAACACCGATTTAGCAATGAATATAGAGCTTTGTAACCACCTTCTACTCTCTTTTGCACACAAAGTGCCCAACTATAATCATTAGAAAAATCAATGTCTAGATATTTATAACCCTTCAACTCTTCTAATTGTAGATCCTAGTAATATAAGGAATACTTGGATCTAGTGCCCACTATCATGACTTTGGACTTCTCTATATTTACCTCCATCTGATTCTGATAGATAAAATAGTCAGATGGTTAGATGATTATGAAAGTATAGGTGTCAAACTTAGAGACTTGTTTATCAAAGATTTATTGAGATGATATCATATTACTAGCACGTGATGTCATTAATTTACAAAAACATTTTAATATTTTTGTCAAACATTTGTACACAATCAGATGTACAAAATCAGATGAAAATCAATTTGGAAAAATGAAAATTATTATAGTGTACACTAGATCCAAGTTTTTTTAAAAAGAATTAGAGTTAGAACAAGCGAAGTATTACAAATACTTTGGCACTGTTTTCCATGATTATAGTTGGGCACGTTGCGCGCAAAAGAGAGTAAAAGCTTATTATAAAGCTCTATATTCATTATTATACCGACGTAGAAGAGCTCATACTTCTATCTTGGAATCTTAAAAATTGTTCTTTAAGAGTTTAGTGTTGCAGGTGGTTTTATATGGAACCCAAATGTGAGGCTATGATTGTGAGAAGACAGCTTGGGAGTGCTTGGAGAGGGTTCAGAAGATATGTCTACAAGAAGAAATGGGATTGAAAAGTCAAACTCCCTATGCCATTCTCCTTGTCAAAGCAAGTTGTTTTACTCTTGAGGTTGAAGCTCTTTATTTGACCATCACTTACATTGCATGGATGAGATCTCTTGGTGCTTCTTGTCTTACTCATCAAGCTTTGCGACACACGCTCTAAAAAGTGGTTCTTTGATGTGGTGACTTGCTCCTCGAAGTGAAATGTGGCGGAATGGGATTGGGAGTTGCAACCAATGGCCCTTAGGAAATTTTCAACATTGTTTGGAGCACGTCCTACACCAAAATGAAGTTTTATCAACTTCATGTGAACCCTAAGCTTGTTTATTGTGAACAAGTGTAGCTACTTGCAGTATCTCTACATTTTTACGTCATATTATTGCATGGCATAGAACGGTATCTCATAGATTAGAGATTGAATAAGTAAGATGGTATAATATTGATAGAATTGAGAGTATTTGTACTTTATGTGAAGGAAGAAATATTGGGTATGAAGAGCATGAATTTATTACATGGACTAGATATTCGGAGATTAGAGTTGCTTGTAAAGTTGTTGCGCAAAATTTCTATTCTTTACTACAACTAGAGCCTTATATTATAGGTTGTTATGTTATTAATCATTCTTCTAGTTAGAGCACTAGGTAACAGAGTTCTTTACGGTTCTCTACTTGGTGGTGGAGTTCTAGAGTTTAGACTTTTGACCCTTGGGGTCACACGGGGATTGATTCATTTACAATAACAAATCTTGTGGTTATATCTGAGAAAAATAGATCGTAATACACCAACACTTGGGGAACTATTAAAACTTGTGAAATGAAATAACTTAATCAGATTACCGAGGGTGTACTACTTTTGATATCCTTCAGTTCTATTTCAATACCCATGAATTCTACTCCCATCACCCAGAGAACTCCGCTCCGGAACGGGATTGTCATAAGGGGTTACGCCGTAACCCTCATTAAAAGTGGCATTTTAGTAAAAAATGCCACCTTTGCCACAATTGAAATTGGGCCGATGCCACAATTAAGCTTTTTCATTCAGCGACTCTTTGGTTGCAATTGATCCTTACGGCGTATTTTTCCACGAGTTCGTAAGCACTGCCTAAAGTTTACGAAGTGCTCGCCTGACAATGGATGAATGTTATATATCCCAAGCAATAAACCGCATTGCAATCAATAAGTGATTAGAAAGAGGATCCTTGTATTTGTGTTTTGAGCCGATTGTGGACAGAAATGTAATTAATGCATGATCACTTGATGGATGTAATTTTTGAAAAAAAATATACACCTTGAAAGTTTTCTAAAACTCTAATGTAAAAATATTTTGGTTCTGAAACCAAGTTTCTCTCCGGTACTAGGATAGAAGACGGGTGATATTACTCATTTTCAAATGAGGTTTTGAGTAGCAATGCAATTTGCGTCTCGTGGATTTTGGAACTATTCAGTTGAAATCTAATATTCTCATGGTTAGTATCAAGAACCTTGAACTCATTTTTTCTCAAAGTACTAGCTCTCTGTGCTTTGAGTATTTCTCACGGTGAAAAATCATGCGACCTGTTCATGGACTCCTCTAAACTCTTGTTAGCTTTTGATGGCTATAGTTGTACCTTGAACATAACATGAGGGCGAAACCGAAATTAGCCACAAAGTAGAAACAACCATGTCTGCATTTCTTGTGAAATAATCTCAATCTCTTATGGTCTCCAGATTGCCAAAGAAATTTTCCAATTCAAATGACACAAATGCCACTTTTAAGAAATTTTGGCTGCCACAATTAACCAAAAGGTGTCAAAAGTGGCAAATGCCACTTTTAATGAGGTCTGGGTTACTGGTGTGTTCTCGAACCCCTAATTTGCCCTCATCCGAGCTAACTTCAGGTTTGAACAATTGGATATTTGCATGTATCGATGGATGCAGCTGAATATGAAGAGGATGAGCGCTTCTGCGGCTCCCACAACTTAATGGTTCAAAATTAATCGAGTATTAGTAATCTTCGTGGAATCAGAAGAAGAGCACAAGCTCGTCGTCTGGCGAGCACTTTTCGATTCGTTGTCCAGGAAGCTTCTAAAGCGAACAGGAGGCGCGAGAGGCCAAAAGTCTCCAAAGCTCACTTTTGGTGAGCAGGTTCCTCGATGGTTCGTCTTCGTATTCTGTTCAACGAAGCTTTTGGCCACGCACCAAAATTATCGCTGGGCCTTATTTTAAGACACTGTAGTGGGGCGGCGAAGGGGATGCCGAATTTACTTGAGCCTTAGGCGGAAACCGGAAGCAATGGAGGCATTCTCAATCGCCTCGAACCGCCCTAACAGCCTCGACCATTCTTCGTACTGCTCACTCCAAGGAACAGTAAAGTCCACGTCTTCAAAATTAGCCCGAAGAGGGTTGCCATCTCCACGGCTGGCCAGGGATGGGTCCCGAGTCACAAGTATTTACAGCAGATAATGGCTCCGGAGGTAAGTGAATGTGGAAGCCAGAATCGTTGACTTTCTAACGGGCAAATAACGAGTCCAAGGAGCCGACCTCGTTAGTATTAATCACCTCGGCAAATGGACGAGAGCTCAATCTGTACCTTCTCAATACGAGTGTGACAACGAGCAACACGAGCGACGAATCGGTCGCCAAAACCAGGAGCGAATGGGTTAGGTTCCAGAGCAGACGGGAGGGGAGGGTTGGTTGAGTGAATCGTGGAAGAACTTCATTCGCGCTGTAATCGGCTTGGATGTGGCGCTTCGGCTGCCCGTGAGAGTGCAGTGGAGAGGAGGAGAGGATGTCGGGCGTTTCCGTGGTGCGCAACGGGAAGTCCGACACGGCAGGGAATGCTATTTATCGGCCCGGTTCGGCTTCTGGAACGAATTGAACCGCACGAGGGCAGGTGAAGAAAGAATTACCAGACCGTATCTCTGCACGTGGCTTGAGTGCTGCCCATGTAACATCCAACGAAGACTCATTCCGCTCGAATGGCACTTTGCGAGCGTATGGCACCGCAGTTTCACTGTCATGACGATGAAATTTGACCGCATCTCGACACATGCCCGTCGAGGGACATTGATTTCCCTGAGAATTGAAGTAAAATGTACAAGTAGAGTCCAGCGGCGCACTTCGGCAGCTTGAATGCGGGAACTGGACAGTGCGGCATCGCAGCTCAAATGTCACCGACGCGAAATGGGATTGCAAATGTCGAGAAAATGCACTATGGTGGTGCGGCGCATGAACTGTCATCACAAATTCAGATTCGCACGTGCACCAAACGTATCCACAAGGGAAAGCTGTTGATATTATTCATGACAGAAGACGGGGCAGGACGATCCCAGGAAAGTGCATATCTCGGAAATACAGACCTCCTAAATCGTCACACCCGGAAGATTTTACAACGAGGGCAAATCTGCAAATCTGCAGACCACCAATCAACTCGCTCGCAAAAGTATCTCTCAGAGTCTCAGTCCAGTGACGGATCTGTAGCTCAGAGTCGCAGTGCTATAATTTCTATCTTTCTGGACCCTAATTCCTCGAGTGCATCAGCTTCCCATCTCACTGCGAGGACTGTAACCATCCCTGATCAGCTATTATCATAATTTTATATCCAGGCTAGCTCAGCTGCGGCGTGAACGTACAGTGACCAGGGGTGACTCTCGAGGCTGCAACAGTCGACTCAGACTTCTGCTCACGACTCTGGCTTCACAAGGACCTCGTTCACAGTCGTTAGACCACAGAGTGTTGAACGTTTCACACCTCAAGAGACCAACGATGAGCCGATCGATCCAACCATCCGCTGATCTCTACAGTTCGAGTTGCTCCTCACAGTCAAAAACTCCTCCCAACTTTCAACTTCCCATCTGCCTCACTTCCCATCTGCCTCACGAGATCTCGCTAAGGTAAAGAGAAATCCCCTCCTCACTCGGTAATTACCCAGCGATCCCTCGTGGTCACAAGCAAGCGGGTTGAAGGAACGCAACCTTGTGCCGAATCATAGTCGTATTCACTACGTCCATCCACTAATTTTTTAACATATCACACAATCAGAGCTCGGGCCGAGTATCAGCAACAGTTTTTTTGGCTTGGCAACGTCATTCTAACCGTGAGACTCAAGAAGTGAGTCCATACACTGCCGGGAAGCTGACAGTCTGGTCAGTAGGCAGTTAGTGTAGAAAGACTGGTCGGGGAGGGAGGACGCGCGCTCTCATTGCACCTTCGGCTGGAGAGAAACAGCTGTTGGGCGAGGCGCCCAACGAGGCCATGATCGCAAACGACAAAGGCCGGAATTTGGCCAGGTTGACTGTACTGCGGGGCAAGTCTCAGACGAAAAGGTGCCGACATGGAAAGGGCAGACGAAGCGAGGAAGCATAGAAAACTTGCAACACATGGGAAGTCTACTTTAGTCCATGATGGTGCAGTGGCTTGAAGCTGCGCTAGCGGTACTCTGCTTGTACAGATGGCGGTGCTGTGTGGGGCCTAATCTCAAACGTGCGGCAACGTGCAGTTGTACATTCAGCGGAGCGATACGAACACATGGCCGCGCGAGTGACGACTGAAGAGTGTACCGGGTAGTTTGTTTGAGGTGTTGTCGGAACTGAACGAAACCGTTGCGTCCGCTTGTCCGGGGGCTCAATTAAACCAGAGCTCTCGGTTGAAGAGATTGAGTGTTTCGGTAGCTGGTGTGATTTCTGCCATGGTTATGCAATGATTGTCGTCGCTGCGAGGTGACTTGACCTCCTCCTCGAAGCTAAAAGTCCGGATAATCCTAATTCATGATTCTCGATACCCTGGATACGAGGTGTGTAAGCATGCCGAACGATCTCACGAAAGAGTACTCCAAGCGTTTCCCGTGAGCAGTTTCAAGTCAAACTGAAGTGCCAGCCGACAAATCGACCAGCAAAGCAGAGAGTCGACTGTAGAAGCAATCGTGCAATTCAACGTACCTCTGTTCCGTCCTTCACACTCTCCACGAGTAGCTGAGAGCGGATTCAACAGCCCATACTCAAAGATAAAGGATCAGAGTTTATCCCTCCTAGATACCTGCCCAGGCTGCTTCGATCTGATGAGCTCGAAGATCAGCTGAAGCTTGATAGCGGGGAGGTCTGCCTCGAATAAAAGGCGGTACCCGTGTGGACCTTTGGTGCATGGTTGAGCTCATCACTGTGCAGTATATCGAGGTGTCGTTCAGTCTTCTTTCAGCTGAGGTTGTTCCTTCGTCTCCACAACGCAGTCTATAAGCCAGAGTTCTTGCATTGGGTTGCGTTGCTCTTCCATCAGTCGTTTAAGCACCTCTGTGTGAGAGGGGGAGGAGCTGTTGGGCTGGCTGGCTGCATGCATGCTGAGCTAGTGGCTTCTAACACCAAAGGAAAAGTCCAGTGAATCATTCCGAGCCATATTTTTTCAGTCTGATTCACGTGGTTCGCAATGGGGGCTGGTTGTTCATGTTTTCGAGGGCCCGCTGCGACCCCCGGAGATAGCAAGACCAGTGCCGATGGAAAAATTAAAACTGTGGTGCTACTCGTGATGGAGAATCGGTCCTTCGATAACATGCTCGGATTTCTGCTCCGGGATTTCAAATCCGAGTATCCTGGAGTGGTCCCCGGTTCGCAAACGGCGTCGGATTTCCTCCAAGGGGATGAATTCAACCTCATAGCCGATCCAAACGATCCAAAACAAACGGTGAAGGTGCCTATCACTGACAATTCACCTTACATCACCAAGGCGGACCCCCCTCACGGATTCGCAGCCATCAGAAGGCAGGTCTACGGAACAGACTCCAGCACAGGACCAGCGACGATGAGTGGATTCGCCACCGAAGCCGAAAGCGAACAGGCTGGCTTCGCTCCCGAGGTCATGAGTGCCTTCCCCACAAACAAAATTCCTATCACGGCCGCACTGGCCAGGGAATTCGCGCTCTGCACCCGATGGTACGCCTCGCTGCCTTGCTCCACCCAGCCCAACAGATTCTTCGTCCACTCGGCCACGTCCCAGGGAGCGATCAGCAACGTGACTCTGGATCTGATCAAAGGCTTCCCTCAAAAAACCGTCTTCGAGTCAGTCGAAGAGTCGAACAAGTCCTTTAAAATCTACTACCAAAATATTCCCGCCACCCTCTTCTTGTCGAATCTGCGCAGCTTGAAGTACATCGACAACTTCGCGCCGTACAGCTCCTTCCTGAAAGATGCCAAGGCTGGAAAGTTGCCCAACTACACGGTCGTCGAGCAGCGGTACTTCGAGTCGCCCTTCGCTCCGGCTAATGACAATCACCCGCCCCACGACGTCAGACTCGGCGAGGAGCTAATTAAAGAGGTTTACGAAGCTCTGCGCAGCAGCCCGCAATGGGAAGAGACGCTGTTCATCATCACTTATGACGAGCACGGAGGCCTGTACGACCATGTTCCCCCTCCCTCGACTGGCATCCCGGCTCCGGACGACTTGATAGGACCGTCACCTGATTTTTTCAAGTTCGACCGCCTCGGTGTCCGAGTTCCTACCATCTTGATCTCGCCTTGGATACCCCGCAACACTCGTAAGAGGCTCTCCGTGACCACCTCCGTGCTACCGCTTTAATTTGGCCTCCTATGCAGATTATTACTTTTCCTAATTTTGGTTGGCCTGGTGCAGTTGTGGGCGAGCCCAAAGGACCGACACCTGATTCTCACTTCGAGCATTCTTCCATCGCAGCGACCTTGAAAAAACTCTTCAACTTGAAGTCCTTCTTGACCAGACGCGATGCGTGGGCTGGCACTTTCGACGACGTGCTTTCTCTCTCTGAGCCACGAAAGGATTGCATAGGTTGATAATCCATCACTTATCACTGCTTGAACCGTGTTTCCGGAGCGCTTGTTTTTGACTGATGGTTATTCGTGAAAACATTGTCATCTCAGAAGTCATTCACACACAAGTAAAACAACTTTACAACGAACTAACGAAGCTTTCAGTACTTTCTTCCTCTAGTCCTTCCTTTTCTCCAATCTACCTCCATTTGCAAACGGCCTCTCTACAAGACCGGTCCAGCATCTGGTTCTCACTTTAGTAAGGATTACATGACGGCAAAAGAAAAATACATGGGAACGGGCAAAATTGGCATATGGAATGAAGTCCTAGGTCTCTGGTCAGAACGATGTCCTCGTGGATTCATCTCTGACATCAGATTCCCCTTTCTGGTTTTGGAAGCTTTGCCTTGAACTCAGGTTTTCTGATGGCGTTTGTGCAGTCACTCTCCCTGCCGTGCCCCCACCAGATGCCACTGATCGTTCGATGCCAGCTGGAGAAGTGAGCGCAGCAGGGTGTCCTCTCCATGAATGGCAGCAAGAGTTGGTCCTACTGGCTTATGTTTTGAGTGGACAAACAGGGCCCGATGCTCCCAAAACCTGCGCCGAAGTTGCACAGAGAATGAATACGGAAGAAGCTTGCGACTTTGTGGAGAAGGCGGTGTCTACTTTTCTGCAGCGAGGACAGGCATCTGCTTCCCAGTAGGTGGACGGTTCAAGGGGGCGTCTCTTTGTATATATACAGTGCCAGATGATTTGGCTATCGACCCCGGTTACTCACTTCACTGAAAGATTGGGACTTCGCAGGGTACTGGTGGATCAGTTCCACATCTCGTGAGGTTTGTATAATGTGTATCTCGCACCTCCTATGACTTATAGCATGTTTTGATTTTGTAGCGATGATGACTGCTCATCGCCGACGCATGAGCGATCAAGTTTCATCTGAAAGCCGCATGGTTCCGGATGAAAGCAACAAAACAATGAGGACTACACATCGAGATTGTTTTGGTGAATTTGATTTGTATCATACTGAGGCGACAAGATCGACAAGATACAACAAACTCAAAATACGACCGTGCTGGGAAAGGCGTGCTACTGAAGCACTCGCTTCACGCGAAGACACTGAAAGGCACACGTCTCATGACAACCAGTTGCCTCCGGGTTCCATGTTCCTACGGGTATTTTGCAACCAGCCTAGATACTTTGAGAATGCCCAGGGTTTGTCACACAGATGATTCTTGTAGGTCTGTAAATATACATGTTAGGGGTTTCTCCAGATCTTCAGATTTATTCGAACATAGCTCATAGCTGAAGTGGAGCAGAGTTGGACGGTGTCTTTAGGCTAGCAAGTCCAGCTCACACCTGTGTTGTTCACGTTACTTGGACTTCCGCAATGTACTTTTACCTCTAAATTCAAGGTTTGAAATACTTTAAGATGGTGTGATTCATGTTACGAAGCTAAGGATATGCTATCCCTCGACATCAGTCTTATCTAGAATTAATATTAACAGCATCCTCCAATAAACTTATCTAGATCTAGCGCATGACCCATGAAAGCGGCGACGCCATCACAAAACCACAAGGCCAACACCATAACGCACCCCGACATGTTGGGTGGGGGGGGGGGGGAGGCGATTGGTTGTATAAGAGCAATTCGTCGATCATCTGTTCCCAAGTGGTTTTACAGTCCACTCAGTTTTCGATTCCGCTCTGCTGCTGATACCTCCACTATGGGCGCGCTTGTTTTGTGTTCCATGGCCCTTCCGGGCTTACTGTGCACTGGGTATCTCGATCTATCAATTACCTTGAATGAGGCTGAAAAGGCCGCATCTTCACAAGACGGGATATATTACAGATGGACAGATGCCGTGAATGTATATATCTATCCTGCTGTTGTAGAGATGCCCGCATCGAACATCTTCAGCATGAGCTCACTACTGCTCCGAAAATATAGTCTGGAGTGACTGGGAACTTTCGCTCGTTGATGCATTAGAGATAGAGGAATCTATACGATCCACTCCACATCCTATTTCAATAGTATATTGATTCCCGTTTCAAGCATTCGTTTCGGCAGAGAGGGCAAACTTCCGAATCACGTAGATTCCAGCACAAATTTTTGGACACTAGTATGACGGCACCAGATCTTTCCTCTCGTCACGTGGTGCCGAACAAGCAAAGATGGTTCAGAAGATTCAGTTTTACAAGCAGTATCCCGATTATATTCGCGGTAAGAACTCGTTTCCTGAAGCAGTACCTGAATTCGCTGGAGACAGCGTACTCTCGCTGTGTCATAGCTTCCCCATCAGAAACATGGTTGTCTTAACTCCCACAAGACAAGCTCAAGAGAACTATGGACTCATAAATCGACCGATACTTGATATTGCAAACATGGTGTGCATCAATGTTTCCGTATCGACTCTGTCTTTTGCGGTAGCCTTGTCCACTGCACACTGGAGGGAATATGCTTGGAAGAAATTTTTGTGATGGACAACTCGTGCTCCATTGGAGATGATCATGCAGATTGAAGAAACAATGCGCACTGAGCTGATTCCTCGCAGGGTTAGTCCCTCTTAGCCGAAGGGCCCTCGAGTCTTCATGAGGTTGGACAACATCCTCCTCCTTCTTCGTAACGTCGCAGCAGCTGCAGTCTCAGAGCCTCGCTGGGCATCCGTTTTCATTTTCAATCCTTCGTCCGGGTCCTGCGCTCTCTTTGAGACTCATCCTTCCCGCACGCATCTTGCACATCTCAACATTTCTTCTTTATCGACCGTCCTCTCCCCTCCATTCGCACGACCCTCTCGATTTGATTGATTCGCTCCGCGAACTGGACTCGGCGGAACACGGACCGATGGAGGAGGTCACGAGGAGACAACGTATCCGACAGAATCAGGGACTACTATGGTATCTAGATGTACCTCAATAGCACGTGGGTCGGTTGATGTCTTTCGAGTATGCACACAGTTCGTGGGTCTAGTACTGTACGTACAATCCTGGGTTCAAGGCGCGAGTCACAGAGTCGCATGTGGGTCGAAACTATCATTACAGGAAGCTAACATGTCTTCAGTTACATGTCTTCAGTTTCTGCAGCACTGCGGCTCTCACATAAGGGGCACAAGGAAAACGAGAAGTTCAGGGTATGCAATCTGAGTGCTTTCCATCTACAAAACTAACTCTCAATGTCGAGTGAATGCGGTGAAAGGCTTGAATGTTCTGAGTGCACGATCATGAAACCCGGATGTGCTCAGACTGAGGAGAGGTTGCTGTAATCTTCTGCGATCTGAGCTCCTTGTGGGCAATAGGGCTGTCAAAGGCTCTTCCTTTTAACTGTACAGACACACATGACACTTCCAACCGGGCGCCAGATGCTCTCCAGCGTTATTCAATTACTTGTGAAGACCAAGGCATGTGCTCCGAATGCCGAGATAACATGCTGTCCATCGCGAGGTCCACTTATAAACTGGGGACCTCTAAAAGCTCTTGAGCGATGAACTTGCCTCTGGTCTTGAAGAAAGGAGACGAAGGGAACTTGTTCTGTGCGGCGGAGCCGGAAGGATTCTGTGACGACTAGCGGCGGGTTTCCTCTTTATAGTTGTTGGGGCTCCTGGTGATCGACGGAATTAGGCCTAGAGCTTTGAGAATTTTTCCTAGAGGTCTAAGCGTTCGGATCAGCAGAAGCTTTCTCGCTCGCATTGAGAAGAATGTTTTCAAGTGCAGCTGTCGTCCTTTGCACATCATTTGCCTCAGTCTGAGAGCTCCTTCTCTGCAGGGCGTTGTCAGGAGAATCTTGGTCTGGAACCGAGGGTACTGCTTGTGTTGTGGCATCTCTCTCAGATGCATTCTCGACAGTGGGTGCTCCTGTGGAAACTCTTCTTGGATTGGGCCTCGGTGGCTCACTGTCCTGTCTAACGTAGGGTTCCGTTTCATTCTCGTTGATGTTCTGTGAGCTCCTCCCTTGCTGCTCATTTGCAGAGGAGGATGCTCGCCTAGAACCAGCTGCCGCGGCGGCACTCACTGCCACAATACCCTCACGTTCAACAATCTGTGGCTCACTCGCAGGGCGGTTTGGTGCAATCCTTCTTTGTTGCGCATTGTCAGTATTTTGGGATGGTCGCCTCGAAGCTCTTCTCGAGCCGGTAGTATTCGACTCTGTATCCTGGCCTACGTTAGCCTGTGGAGATTTCTGCGAGCTCCTTCTTTGCAGACTATTGTCGTTAGATTGTAAGGCCTCCAGTCTTTCGGAAGGTCTTCTTGAACCAGTACTTACTGAACCATCCTGGTCTGTACTGTTTTCAGAGGAGGCATCAGATCTTCTCCTCCGCAAAGCATTCTCATTATTCTGGGACTCTCGTCTAGAGCCTCTTCTTGAACCGGTATTTCCAGCTCCACTATCTTGGCCTGCATTAGATTCCGAATGAATAGCAGAAGAATTTTGGGAAACCCTCCTCGCTAGAGCGAGGTCGACAGTCTGAGAGATTCTTCTCTGCAGAGTACTCTCGAGTGATTTCATGAGGTTTTCAGTTGAAGCCGAGGTTTCTGGTGGATCAAAAGTGTCACCAGTGCTTGCATTATTTGCCTGAGAGGCTCGCCTGGAAGGTCTTCGAGAACCAGATTTGCCTGCAACACTGGAATCTCTCGAGGCATTAGAGCTTCCCGCACTGCTCTGGCGACTAGATTGACTGGCTTTAGAACTTCTTCGACTTTGATTCGGACCACCGTTTTCTCTATTTGTGCCACCTTGGTCCATAGCCAACGACTGCAACATCTGGTCCAGGACCATCCTAACAGCCGCTTCAGCATTCTCATCCACCTCCGGTTCCTCTGCAGCTTCGGATTCGACATCGCTAGCCTGCGTGGGAACCTCATCAGGCCTAGCTTCCTGGTTCTGGACATTCCCCCCACTGGCATTACTCTGTCGTCCACCGCTAGCTCCACTACTTCTCCTCTGAGAAGCTCTCTGCTTACTCGGCCTGCGATGATCAGCATCATCGTCGACTTCAGCAAGAGACGCTCGGGGAGGACTTGCTCTGCTTTGCTCTCTCGCGTCGTCGCCATGTGAGAGTCGTAGGCTGTCATTACTACCATCGCTACTATTCGACAATCTCCTTCTCGGGAATGCATCCGCGAGGCTCCCATCGCCCGGCCAAGATCTCGATGACCTTCCCGGGCTCGTGTCTTCTGTCCCGCCCAGACTGATGGGCACAAACCATTGGACAGCTGGAAATCTTCGTTGTTTGGGAGCTGTGATGGTCAAGACCCCGAGATCTAGCTCAGCGCTGATCCTGTCAATAATAACATTCTCTGGAAGCCGGAAGCGCCTCACAAATCCGCCGACCCAGCGCTCTACTTGGCGCCTGTTGATGCTATCCAGGGGCCAAGCTTCTTGTTCGAACCGCTCTCCACTGATCTGCAACACAGGGCCTCCCTCGATCACCACCTGCAGATCCTGTTTTCTCAATCCTGCCGAGGACAGATGAGACTTTCAGTTGCCGAGGAGCAATTTTGCGACTCATGCAAGCTTGGGGAGATTCACATTTTTTTCCTCCCGCCTCTTCTTTTTCGCGTTTCCCCTCATGCCCAGTCGGCTCGACTGGAGCTGAGAGGTCAGTCATTAAGTCAGCACCCACGCCAAGGAAGGAATCTGTCGATGTCTAACTGCAGAGCTGACACTGCGGCTTCCCTCTCTTCAGGAACGAAAGCGCTAAAAAGAATGTGTATGTTGATCAGATAGGAAGAAAGACGAAAAGGCTCATATTAGAACTAATGATGTCAAAGTGCTCGCGGAGTCCCAAACATGGCTACGACATCACTCTGAGCGATGTTAATAATGAATCTGTCAAGGGACCTGGACGAATCACCGGTTGGGGGGGGTGGGGGGTGGGTAGCTTTTTAATAAACCCTGGCTCGTTGGGAGAGACGTGCTTTGACCGTACGTGCGCAGGAGAATATGTGGCAATCTCTAGAGTACAGGACAGTACAGATCACTCTCTGCTCGCAGCTCAAGGTTTCTGATCCCTAGAAACAGTAGGAACGAAACCAGCCTGTATAATCCGGCGTTAACAATGTGTGCTTAGCGGAAATTAGTCAGGTCTACGTGCTGCTGGTAGAGCGTCTGATTGCAACTGGATTTGACGAGTCACTCCACAGCTTTCCACGAGATCAGTGAGGCCGTGCATTGGGAAGCCAACGAACCCAACGCTCCCGTAGTGGGCACCTCTAGGACCAACACGTCATGCCACTCGGATCGAACGTGGCAATTGCGCAGCTCACAATCTTAATCGATTATTTTAATAAAGAATTCAGATTCTAATAGAAAGTGAGATTGGGATCGTTTTCTTACTCGAATCAACTACACGGGGCTGATTGAAGGGAGGATGCTTTAAGGAATTTGGTCTGGGGTTGGCTAGAATGACGATCAAAATCAACTCAGCCCATTCAAAGCAGGGAATGTTGATGGGGACAAGGTCATACGAGCTGCCACACCTGATTAAGAATTTAACTCCCGTAAAATTTCGGGAACATTGCACGATAGTTTCACTGAATTTCTTGCGCAGAGAAAGCCCAGAAAGCATACCAGGAACGTCCGCCTTGATTACATGAGCGTCGATCGTTTCTAGCCAGTTGATGTGGACATTGCCCACGCCAGAGACAGAAGCAGGATCGGGCCGAACAACGTGATCGACAAAAGGTAGTGAATCTCCCAAAATATTGACGTATGAAATTTCCCCCGAGGGAACTATCACAGTTCGTATAATCTGAGGCATGGCTCGAGCGACTGATAATTCATCCCCCACAGGACCAGACGAACTTCTCGACACCTCAAACACATTGATGGGCTGATAGATGCTCGAGATCGGATGCAAGTAGTTCATATTCGCAGGCAGTGAAGAGAGTAATCCACGGCACTTTCTAGTTGATTAATCCCTGCTCCCACATTCGCCCATACGCCGCGGAAATCTGGTGCAGCATGGAGGAGAAAAACCATGATTCGGCAAGGAGAGCACATCTGAACCAGTTCCCGATGAGAACGACTTCCGACGGCGGAAGGCCTTCCGACAAAATCCCCGATGGCCACAAGTGAAGCAGCCGAATGCAAGAATTGTCATCGTGGACGAATTGTGGAAGCACGACCTTCCCTTCGAGGTAAATCGAGCGCTTGGAGATTCGGAGGGGGTACAAAGGAGAATCTGGGCACTTGTCTACCGACCAATTACATGCAAGCGCACAGTTCGAAAATATACAGTCTCGATTTGTCCCGTAATATGAACGTGAACATTCCAGGTTTTGATTCAATTGAAGCGCGACACGCGGCCCACACGAGATCCAAAAGACAAACTACGACCAATTGAGCTCGAGTGATTTGAAAGTCCACGATGCCCAAAGGCCCACAGCCATGCATGAAAGAGGAGCCAGACAGGGAGCCCGAGACTGTACGGCTAAAGCAAACGCTACCGTGAGCAGAGCCACTGCATCCATGAAAAGAGAGATGTAGTGTACGGTCGCATTAGTCAGTCGTCATCACTTATTGCTTCTGTTATGGGTTTTATTTTATTGTCCTCTCAGTCAGAGATGGTCCTGGGGCAAATGCTAAATGCGAATGACGAAGCATTCCAGTTTCGGAAAGTGCGGAATTGATATCCCGGTCAGGAGCTTTTCTATTTTCTAATTTATTGCCATTGATCACTAGTTATCCCTTGACATGAATGTATATATTCCTTCATGCTCTAACCAGAAAACTGCTACGGGGACTGGACTTGAGCCTTGAGTTCATCTCCGTTACTCGGTGCAGTGAATGCTTACATGATTGCAGATAAGAGGGCATTTACTCATGTTTTATACTTTAGGAGCCCCTCCATAAAGCACTGAAAAATTCTGTGCAGGACTGTGACAAAAGTAAATCATGAATTGTGGAGTTTGAGGAAATATGCATGCAATCACCCCTCTGACGACCTGGGAATGCCAAAGACAGACATGTTCAAGGCATGAGTTCCTGAAAAAAGCCAATGACATTCCTGAAACAATTATTCTCCTCGACACCAATTACTCCGCAAACTTGAACTTCATCTCTCATGGACAGTTTAGTTTCGTGGAGTAAATGATGGAGCAGGTCAGTTCTGACATGATCCCTTTACTCACAAAAACTGTAGGATGCATGTGCTTCTGATAATTGATGAGTTGCATTGTACAACGGCCTGAATTCCTGATTATCTTCACAATCAGCGCACAACAACCACTTCAGAGATGGTGCATAAACTGAGCTCTTCATTGTTTGTTGCCAAAATTTCTGGTGTGAGCTATTCCCACTGATTTTGTATCTGGTTTTTAGCATTGCCAAGTGGTGGCAATGCTCTAATCCGGGCACTGGGTCTGGGATCTTCAGGCTATGGCAGGTAACAGAATCCAGCTACAGCATTTTAGGATAAAGCTTTCAACATATTTGACAAAGAACACTTTCACCACAGTGCTATTCTTTTATGAAGCTTTTGGCACAATCAAGCAATAAATGTAGCATGCATACAACAGTCATGCATGCATATGACGAAATTCTTAGACTCTGAGCACAGGAAATTGAACAACGTATTGCTTGACTCAGTGATGAGCAAGATGATCCATGTAAGTCATTGACCAAATAGGCGAATGCACATGCATATGCAGGATAGTAAGCAAGCAAATTTGAAAACAAGTCTACGTGTACTCACGAAATCGTAACGGGGGACTCAGCATCCGCCTTTTGAAGATCAAGTCGTTGACCTATGTACCGTCTTCGAAGTGCAACAGAAATTAGATATTGGAAGACATATAGTACAATCTCTCACCAACTGTTGGTAGGGTCAGAGATATGAACTGAACATTTACAGACCGTGTTTTGTAGCAATCTTTGGGATTATCCACAAGGAAAAAAATTACGATTGTCGTGGATGCACTATAGTTTGATCATCTAAGTCAGAATAGGCTGTATTGAAAGCTGTGATAGAATAATTGATGACCAGATTCCTAAATTTCCAAACCTCGCAGAGATTGTTCATAGATAGGGCACTAGAAGGTTTGTAAGTAATAAAAGAACATTCAGAAGAATATGATACGTAAGTATAGCGGCCGTGGTACACTGAACGTGTTACTGAGAAAACATGACACAGAATTCGACTAGATAGAGAATATCACAATGTCTTAAATCCTTGTAGAGGATCAGTTCTAAAATTAAGAACTGACTGATTGAGCTCAAATAACAGATGCCGGATAAAGGACAAAGTGAAGTATGATACCTATGCGCTTCAAGATTTAGGACTTCACATCTTCGAAGAAAATTGTAATCGGATATAGAAGCAGCTTTGATTTGAATTGAATTGTTGAAGTACCGCAGCTATCTACATCTGTATATTATTGATGCAGTGAAGCAAATACACTCGTTCCTTAAAACTCAGTTTGTAATGCTTGTCGTTGGTCTCGGATCTGCATGACGTTCACCTACTTCCAGTAGCCTTTCAGGTTGTAGGATCTACACTCGATTAACACATGTTCGAATACAGATGTTGCCTCGTTTTCCAGATATTACAGGAAGCCTGCAACTGCAGTACGTACCTCTACAGACTTCTGATTTGCAGGTCAGGTTTTGAGACTTTGACTCTCTGGAGAACACCGTCCTACACACTCTGCACCTTTTCCTCTGTTCTCTGTCCTTAGACATGGTCAGCATCTAAGCAGGACAAACTTTTTGGGAACGCTCCTCGTCATGGCAAGCAGTGCTTTTGGTCGATTTTTAGGTCTGGTCTGCGATCCTTTTGTCTTGAAGAAGAAGGTACAGGATCAGTCTATTTATCTTTGGTCTTCGCCTTAAATCTGACTTCCATCGTCAACTGTCCGTCCCGAGACATTGGAGTTCGATCCTTCACAGACTTATTTCGTAGTCTAGCTAGGTCAGAAGGTAAAAAGTCCCATACATCGTATGATTCATTCGGTATACGACATTGTCTTCTCTCTTTGGTTGTCAAGAGTAAGTCTACGAATTACTGCTTTCGGCATGTGGAGGAGAACCAAAGGCAGTGTACATCTTTTTGGAGGACTGGCTGTTTGATGTTCAGTTCGGGAGACAGGCAGCGCAATTCACAAATTTCTGCAGCAGAGTTACAAGATCCAAGAACTTCAATTAACTCCAGCTTCCCGGGATTCAATTCTTGGATATGAGTATATGTTTCCCCGTGTACTTCAGTGCTGTTCGACTGTCGTCGTTGTTGTTTCCCAAGTAGCAAACCTTTGAAAAACTCTTGGCTGTGATGTCCAGTAAGTTGATAACCTCTCACGAATTTGTAAAGTCTTTCAATTTTAATTTCGCTCTTTTCAATTTCGGCCTACATAGAAATCCCACGAAAAAATATCGATGAGAAACACGTGTCGATGGTCGGCACTTCTAATTCTAATCCGCCTCTGATTTTGCCAAGAACTCAAATCTTGATAAGCGGAGCAAGAGATCTTTCCTGCGAGAAAGAGACCGGGAACTTCATTCACCAGCTGTCATTAACTGCAAAGGGACATGCCATACGCCATAGTCAGCCAGTCAAAATACAAGCTTCCTCGTACAGCAGGTACAATAAATGGTTCACAAAAGAAGTCTTCGCCTTGGGCGACAAATGAAAGATATACAACTGGATATAGGTCCTGTCGAAGCTGACAGGTCCTGGAGGAACATCAGAAAAGCAGTTGTACAACCATGATATAGCTTCCCCGCTGTTAGACCGCATACAATACTGCACATTCAAAAACGATTGGCAAACGGCCGAAGAGTCTTGCAACTCACAAAACAGCCATGGATTCGACAGCTTTCAAAGCTCTTTCTACATCTACGCTCTCTCGATGCTGGCTGCTCAGGCCGGCAGGACAGGAGGAGGTACCCAAATGAAAATTCCCGGGACATGCCTTCATTCCATGGATCGTGAACGCTCGGTCCCAGTGACAGAAAGTACTACTACTGTATTAAGTAAGCATCGTGCTCTTCGAACGAGTTTACAATCTATACCTTGGCCAGAGGGGAGACCTCAAATGAGACTGGTGGCAGTTATACGTTCCTTAATGTGTTTCCTGTACACAAGATGCTGCATCAACCTAAGCCCATAAGGGGGCGGACTAACTCTGTACTTAAGTTCCATCAGCTACCTACAACCCACACACACCTGTTTCAAGGGCATGGCAGAGCCAACAAAATTTGTCCACTGCCAGAGCTCTTCAAGGAGCTGCGGGAACCTCTAATTTAGATATAGGAGCATCATCAGCTGGAATTGCATACTTGGGAACTCACAGAGCCTGCAGTAATAGACTCCACAAGATCCTATTTTCGAAACTTTGTGCTACTCAGCTTCCAGCAGCTAAACATAAGGATGTCTGTTTTATCCTATCATCAAACAGAAAAGATCGGTAGGTACAATGAACTAACTTACAGGCCTCACAGTCCACTGTGAGGCAGCGCCGACTAATCGAGGATTAGCGACGCAATCTAGCAAAATCTAGCAAGTAGCAAGTAGCAAGAATGAGATAAAACGGAGAACTACAAATAAGGCGACTGCAGCAACTGATTGATCCGATGAGCAGAACTCTCGTGTAATTCTGTGCATGGCTTGGCTTTGCCGTGCCAGAGCCTGGCACTTCGTGCGAAGCGGTTTCATGGGCAGCACTGTGGCGTGTGAGAGGTATAGCTACATGGAGCAAACGAACTCCCCATCACTCTCTACATCGACGTCCAAGTCACAATCGTCGGCCTCGCCGGAGTCACCGAGTAGGGCATCGGTACTTTGCCCTGGTCCAGGAATTCGGGCTTCGTTGATGAGCTGGTGTATCTCTTCGATGCTTTGCGGGGGATGATTGGGGTCATCGAAAATGTAGCTGTTGACGTTGGACCCATCCTCAATGTCCGCTGGCAGGTTTCTTAAAAACCACGGATGCGCCTGAATCTCTTCCATCGTAATTCGTTCCGCTGGATTTGTGACGAAAATTCGCGTTAACAAATGTCTGCACTCACTTGAAATTTGTACATATTCTGGAATAGAGTACGACACATTCATTATTCGTCTTATGGTTTTGACGAAATTCTTCCGATCTTCAGGGTCTTCAAACGGGTACGCTCCAACCAGCATCACGAAAAGTGTCACTCCACACGACCACACGTCGGCCAGCTTGCCATCATACTCTTTCTTCGCGAGCACTTCCGGGGCAATATACGCAGGCGTGCCCACCGTGGACTTGGGCTGGGAATGAAGGAGAGACGACTTTGAATATCCGAAGTCACAAATCTTCAGGCGAGGGGCAGGACTCCCATCCAGAAGCGTGTTCTCCAGTTTCAGATCTCGGTGACATATTTGCATCGAATGGCAGTAGCTGACTCCAGAAATGAGCTGCTGGAAAAAGAATCTGGCCTCGTCCTCGCTGAAGCGCCCCATGTTGCAAATACGTTCGAACAGCTCTCCCCCGGCGGCATATTCCATGACAATTGCCAAGTGAGTCGGAGTGACCAATAGCTCCTTGAATCGTACAATGTTGGGATGACGAAGAGACCTATGGTTGATGATTTCCCTCTTGACATTCTCGTCAATTTTCTCTCCACGCTCGATGTATTTTATAGCCACCATCTCTCGGGTCAGCTTGTCTTTCATGAGTCTGGCCACTCCAAAATTACCCGACCCAATATCCCGCACCAACTCATACCTATTCGTATCATGCTGAATCTCAGTGGGCATATCCATGCTGCCTCCCTCTCAACTTCACAAATTGACAGCTCTTGCCTTCCTTCTTACTAAAAGTGCATTCTATACCGCCTCTCCTCTCGTCTACTCCTCTTGATCCTTCCCCTCGTCTCTTCAGAATAGCTCGACCCAATTCCGAGGTGTCCAAATTCCTCCTCCTCCTCCCTCTTTGCCCCCTCTCCTTCTGCACCTATCACTTCCTCTGTAATTCCCCCCCACTAAACTCAGCTGGCAATTCTGTTCCTTTCAGGACAAGTCAGGAGAAATTAAGACGTAGCAGAGGGTACAGACATGCAACCTCCAGGTGTAAATCTCTGGTATCTGTTAGCTCCCTGGTATCATGATGATGAACAAACGGATTTGTTCTCGTCTGCACAGAGACGGGCCTATCGAGGAATTCAGAACCACTTCCACGAATAAATCCAGACCTAAAACTCATGCACACACTCCATCGAAAAATCTACCTCACGCACGCTCCACAGAAATCTGTCCCTGCCTCCCCGTCCCCCTACCCTTCTCTCGCTCGCTCTCTCTAGCTCTCTCCCCCCGGGAATCGATCTGGAATTGATCAGACTGCCGTGCAACATCAACAACGTCGTAGTCGTCGTCGTCGTCCTCCCTCCTAGTCCGTCCTCGTCCCCCCCTCCTCACACCGAAGCACCCAGACAGTAGCGACAAAAGACAGTAGCAGCAGTAGCAGCAGCAGCAGCAGCAATCTATCCACCCAACCCACAACGCGACCCAACCCAACCCAACTCGCCTCCTCCTCCCTCACTCCACTTCCTCTCAGTTGGGACTCGGGGAATTCGGCTGTGTTGTCGAACAGTGGTAGTCAGTCGGTGAACAGCAGCGCTTATCTCAGAAGCTCGACTTTCTGCCGAGAATGTGAACATTCTTGTGCATTTGCCACGACTGAAGCGCTCGTAGACCGGGGAGAGCCTTGCTGCGCGCTTTATTCTTATAGCCGACGCTCGACGCTTCCACCGGGCCTTTAAATTCCATCGTTCGATAGTTCGTGGTTTCAGCTCCGCCCCTGCCGCTAATCAGTGCGCTGCAATTCTGCCATTTTCGTTTACCCCTTCTTAATTTCGAGCCCTCGGGATTTAATCCATCTGTCCGACACGTGGCCTTTTCGAAGTTATTACAGTCCGTCCGTTGCAGCTGGATGAAACGTCAATGACGTGGTTCTTGTGGCGAAGGTTGCCCAGCTCGCTTTATAAGAACATGCTGTTTTCTGTTCATGTAATATTTCAAGAAATAACAAATACAAAGTTATGTACTTGTTAGTTAATTTGAATTTTGTTTGTAAAACAGATAATATTTCCACGTTCTTTATATTTACAGAGTATTGGTTCTGAACATTTAAAAATGATGGTTATTCCTGTCAACTCAAATATCCAAGACATTGATAACAGAGTGCACATAGTTGTAAAAGTGATTCACCCTTCAGAATACTAAATTCCCGAGAGAAAAACACACTAAAAAGTTTACTACCGAAATCATATAACAAATGTGAACAGCGCAAGAACATCCGGGTATATTTACCCAACACCGAGCGAGGACCAACCTAACTATAAATAGTTATATCCAACACCAACTGAGGACCAACTTAATTATAAATAGCGGAACCTAATATTATTGAGGTTAACTTCGATTAAGTTATACTCAATAATTTGTATAATTTAAAATTTTAATATTTCATCAATAGATTCAAGAATTATATAATTTTTTGAAAATTACGTCATTTTGAAATATACACAATGATAGATAGACATGTAGATATACAAACAGACAGAGTACATACAAGAGTAAAGTGGTTCAACTTTTAGAGGAAGACGTTCACGTAGGAAAAACACGTGACGGTGAAAAAACAAATGTTCCCAACGTAGAAGCTTCAGGATATATATATGCTATTATATATATACACCGGCTATATATAATTATTACAAATGTGATTAACTACCAACATAGCTATAAATAGGAAAACTTAAGTTACTCTTTAATCGGAGTTAACCTCAACCATCTACTCTTTAAATCGTGTTGATTAAACAATAAACTCTATAACATATATTATTGCTCCACGGGAACTTCTAGATGGAAATCTAACACAAGGTACCTTTTGAAACGAGAGTTAACTAAAACTAAACCGTAGACATAACATGACAGAGTAATATCATAAATAGGTAACTAAAAACTTCCTAGCATAGAGGTAACATAAACCTGTAATTATATACTTATTTTGCAAAAGTTCTAGAAAGAAATCTAACACAAGATTATTCTTTAAACGAGAATTAACTAGCACTAAGCCATAGTCATTATAGGATAAAACTTGGTGTATTATCAAATTTCAAAGTGATAAATCATAGATTTTATCTTATTGATTATTTTCTTGCATTACTTTCTTTACATTCACATAGCAATTCTAAACAATCATTTTTTCACACACATGTATAAGAATTGATATCTAAACATGCGTGAAAGAAATCCAAATCTCACTTGTTAAGTTTTTGCATTTTTAAAATTGGTGAACGCTCCAAACATGCATACACAATTATACTTATACTTTGTTTTGTTTTGCTTTTCTTATTTTCTTTTAGTTATTTGTACTATTTTTGGAGATTGGCTATTGAGATATTTGAATTCTATCATGCATTTTCATACATGCAAAATCACAAATTTTTTTCTCCTTCTCTCTATATGCAAATCAACGATCTCTACAAACCATTACATACTTTTGAAAAATTAAATTTTATCATCACATATTTTCTATTACAAATGAATTAGTACACATTTAAAAAAAAGCAAAAGAGCCATATAAATATAATATCATTGAAAAACTAGGGATTGAAATAATAGTTCATTCAAAAAATAAACACAACTCTTAATATGAGAGATACATAGAATGTTTTCACACAAATAAAAGAAAGTAAAATTTCATTCACATCATCTATTCCAAACACATATATTGTTGACATTTCATTCTCAATTATGGTATTTATTTTCAATCCACAAAACATAATGATTACTTACATGAAAACTATTGATAATCCATTATAATATAATTATATTTACATCTTGAGTAATATTTATTTTAATTCTACCTAAGTAAAGATAATAAGATGTTGAAAATGATATACGAAGTTTCCTAATAATCAAAATAAAAAATATATCTTACTCATATCTCCTGAAATAAAACTGAATACTGTAAAAATCAATAAATTATTGGCCAGAATATGTTTACTCATGGCACATAGTTTCATTAACTTTCGAATTAAAAATCTTGATAGTCTTTAGATTTTTCATAAAATTAATGTTCAATTGGAGAAAAGATGTAAAGAAATGTGTAACCTATACAACCTCATCAAGTCATAAATTGATATACCGAAAGAAGTAAGATGAAGGTCATATAGACATCGATGAAATACGAACAAGCTCGATAATACAATAGATAACATATATAGAAGATACTATATAAATAAGAGAAGTAACTGAGATAGTCGTTGTTATTAAATGGGCGAGTATATCAACTCCATTTTCGGAAAGGTTTACAAATGAGCTTCCTTGAGATAGAATGGAAGTTGAAAAAGTAAAGCTCATATTTACGTGGAGATACCGGTAAATCTTCCACCTTTGAGAGGATGTCTATTCTAGAGAAGTGCATATGAATAGGGAGATAAGGAGGAGCTCGTCAACTCCCGGTCTCCACAAAAATCAAACCTGACTAAACATTGCACATGAAGGCAATACGATGCCACTATTCCATCATGTACATGTTGTGCAGCTACATGTTTGACAAATTTCTTTGGAAATAAATTTTTTTTTCAATGAAAAATCTCCAAAATTTATAAAGTATGCAAAGAAAACATCAAGCACAATGATTTAGTAGACTATTATTGTACTAATTAGTGTACTTAGTTAGTAGACAACCTACATACTATATTAAAAGTAAAGCATATGGTTTGCTAACAAGAAAAGAGTAGTATTTCATGTTTCCTAGTATGATATGTTCTCTTGCATGACGAGGAGATAGAGTGTCATCCATGATGGAATCATCGATGTGATGTGACCAGAGGTTGCTATGGTCTAGATGTATTTTGTTTTAAGATTATTCTTCAAGTCATCTTGAAGTGATAACTTCATTTGCAATAGTACTCACTTATATTTGGAATATATCCTTTACCGATTACAACTGCCGAACCAATTCACTCGCGGACGAAGGACATGAAGGGGAGAAGTGCGTGGAAGTTTTCTTCGGAATAATTTCTCCAAAAGATGCATGTCAAGGGACTTGCTTGGTGTGATTGAAGTGTTATCCCAGTACACCTGAACATGGTGGTGACATCTTTGGCTTCTGCTAATCAGAACCGCCTTATCTAGAAAAATCATCAAATATCTGTTGCAGTTTGCACAATTTAATTCTGCGACTGCAAAATAGCAACACCTCGTTACGCCTCTTGACCTTGTCGTTTCATTCGATAAAAAATGAAAGGGGTTGGATGTAGGTTGAATGTGAAGGTCGAGATAAAAGTAGTATATGAAAACTCCTGTTTCGGTACCGTGCTCGGTACTCCACTGTACAAAGTTCCGTTGACGTGCAATTTTCAGGACGAAATCGTGAGTCCTCCGGACTGACAACTGTGGAGCACTTTCCGGCAGCATGGTACTTATCCATTATTACAAGTACTTTGTCCAGTGACTGAACAAACACACTTCTCGGTAAATCACGAAATGATTCATCCCGAAGAAATCAGGTCCAGATTAATTTGACATTGCAGATCCTACTCAGCTCTCAAACGAGCCACATGTTTGACGCAGTGAGCAGTTGCGAGAAAGCCAGCAATCATCGAGTCTGAATTCTTCCTTGGTTCGCAACCTTACTACTATTATACACGAATGTGGTGGTTATAGGGCCAGCTTTTGCAGCGTCCCGTGGGCATTTACATGAGCGAAGTTGCAGGCGGTCCATGTTACTGGCGGGAGGAAAGATGCAGTCCATGGAGAGGTCACTTGTCTCATCCCCGGTTCCCCGCTGCTCTGCCTCTCACAAGAATGACACTTCCAGCTCCAGATGCTGATGTGCTCGATGCAGTCCCGGGCCGGGTTACGTGTCCGATATCTAGAAACAGAAGCATTCGCTATCTTTCTTCCTGCTCTCGTCGATCCTTGCGGTGCTTTCATTATTCTGCAGATATTTGCAACGGCAACTCACCTTATATCGAATTACGTACTCCTTCCGTGCTCGATCTCTACAGAATTCGGGATCGTGGTCCCGATCGGGGCCAGCGATCTTGTCCCGTTTTTCCACAACTGAGGGACCCTTGTCCCCTGCCTGGTGCTTCCCTGACCTAGCCATCGATGCTCCAGAGCCGTCGCCTCAGTCATAACCACGTCATCATGGTTATGCGATACTGTGTACTCACATGAATTGGGCCCATGTGGACTCCGATATGGGATTGACCTTGCAGTGCTCATGGAACTGTCCATCAGACTAATTCTAGTGAATTAAATCTAGGTGTATGATTTCTATCGAAAAAGCTTAAAATCTGTCAAAAACTTTCACAATCTATATTTGTATCATGTCTTGCTTGTAGATTTCTACCAATTTTGTTTTTTATCCAGACTCATGATATCATACCTATCTACAACTAATAGAAAATAATGCTTCATTTAATTCGTTTGATTTGGTAAAACCCAATCAGCAATCATTAATGTATCTATTTAAAAAAAGTCTAAGTACCAATTTTAGAAATTTTAGAGATACTGGTTGAAGTTATTTATATTCCAATTTGAAAGTCACTTTCACATCCAATCTCTCATCATTTCTTTCATGTAGTTTGATTAAAATTCAACATAAAATCATGCATGTCGCGGTGAGTAAAATTTATATGTTTGCAAATTAAAATACAAGATAATCTAAACTAACTTGTAAAGATTTTTTGTCATTTTACGCAAAAAAATAAATCAAAGAGAAATTTGTGAAATGAAGATCTTAATTAAAATTGAGAAGTTAAAAATATTCAATTCATTACTTACTGATATTTTCATTGTAGAAAAAATTTTAAAAAAACTTGAAAAATATCTAGAATGAATACATTATTTTCCTAATAGATTTTTCCAATGCGCAAGATAGTAAAATTTTAAACTTCAAACCAATTCAAGTGAATTGATAAACATGAACGTGAACATGACACATATATTTTACAATCACACTAATTATTTAACTACACATAATTTTTCCACTACTGGAGGGAGCATTCAAGAATGCTTTGCAAGGAAGCGAGAAGAACGAAATTGAGCTGAGTGTAGAAAGTGGTAAGTTAGTCAGTGCTGTCAATTTGAAATCCTCAAATGTGTCTGGTTTTAATTTACTCAAGATTATACTGTCTTCATTAACATGCCAGTGAACACGGCCCTAGAGCACGTTCCGAATTTATGCTTCGTTATCTAGTTTGGAGTTCTGTGTTTTAATCTAATGTCTTTTTTCGTACTAATGAATTGATGGATGTATTCTTGTTGTTCAGGGGTGTTGAGAGTCATATGCATTTTTTTAAAAAGACGAGAGAACAAGCGTGTAAGCTTAATTCAATCCAACTTAAAATGTCTAATTTTTTTTTATCCGTTTGTATATCATGCACTTAGGGGAGCAAAAAGTTGACTGTTTTTGCTGACCTCCACTTTTTTACAGATGCCAGGTATTTTGGATTATATTGACTGGGGATACAATCAATCTTTACTTATCAATTGAAAATTATAGATAATTCATTATAATCGTCTTTAGTTACTTAGAATAAGTATACAAACTATTCAAAATAGAAATACTAGTGTGGTATGGAAAAATGTGTTTACTAGAATGGGATGTAGGAAGTGTGTACGGAATACGGAAAAATGTGTTTACTGGAAATTATATATATATTTTAATCATAAATCAACTCTGTATTCATAATTCCCCTTGAGAATAAAAAATCCATCACCTTCATTCAACTAATTTACTTACTAAAATCGTGAAGTAATTATCTATGGTGTGTTAGCATTAATAAAAAGTTGTCTATACCAATGGTGAAGTGACTCAAACCAAGCTCTTACCGTGTATGGGTATTTAATGTTTTTCATGTAGAAGAAGCTCTTGAGACAGTGCAAAGAACTACTGTCATATACCAAAGTTTACTTCGTATGGGATTCAGTCCAGCTCACAGCAAAAGATTTGTTCTTCTTTCATCAGACTATTGATAGAATATAATAGAGTCAGAAGAGTGCAACACGTAGACGGAAAATGGAGAGAGAGAGAGAGTAAATCCTAGCATCCACATGTACTCCCAAAGCAGAGTTCCGTCATACCATGAAATGAGGGATGTAGCTCCGTGCAAGAAAATGTGCCGTAGAGGTCTCAACCGATTGTCAAGTGTAGACTTCCCTCTGACATCTTCTACATGGGCTATTTTTTTCCCGATGGGACTTTCGCTTGATCATACACCTCAACCCTGCAGTCTCTTCTTTCAGTAATAACTGAATTGAAATGACAACTGAAGTGGAGGCGGCGGGATGTGACAACTCGAGACTTGGGTACTGCCTGGTCTACTTTAATATCATGTAAGTCTAGCAAAATAGTATTTTTTAAAAATAGTAAATTATTTATCGAAAATAATTTTGGGTTGACTAGAGAACCTTAAAACCCTGATTTCAACTATGGTTTTAATCAATTGTATTAGACTATTGAAAGGGTTGCATTGGGAATTTACACGAGTTTTATGTTGGGAGCGATGTTCAGAATTGTTTACATACAGAGGAGCAGGCCAAGAAGCTACGTTCCGCTTCCTTGGAGATTGACATTTATCCCCATTATTAGCTCCCGTGTTCAAGCTAGTACATGAACCTACATCAGACACTGCCCTTTCACTATGGTTAGCTCCATAACAACTTAGTGTCTCAGGTTCAGACGAAAAACCAATAAGTAATTACGGGTTTTTTGAAAAAACTTTGTTTAACCTGAGTGCAGAAAACCTGATGGTGCCAGCCCGGGTATGATTCCACATGTTTTGAATGAGAAGAGCTTATTGGAGAAAGGACGGAGTCACTCATCACTCAGGAAACGAGAAAAGCCTGAAGCACATTATGCTCGGTAGTTTGCAGCAGGATGCACCTCTAGTCCACAACAGACAAAAACAAACCTTTAGAAAGGTAAAATACGAAAAGTTTAACTGAAAAGAAGGCAAAATATGCATGAAGGATAATGCGGGCTCGCGAAACCTGCGGAAAACGGCAGTCGCCCCAAAAAAAGATGCCAAACGCCCCACACGTTGTGAATGCGGAAGCCATCTCACCCTGCAGCTTTTCCAGGTCAAGGTCAACAGAATCCTGCTGTAATCAACTCGATCCGAGGAAACACAGTCGAATTTCATTTCCATCCTCAATAGACAGTGCATCTAAACTCAGTCCTTCTGATTTTGGTGTCTTTGATGCCTGATTTTGATAGTCAGGCAGACGCAATTCGACTGTGACTGGAGATATGGATGCGAGTGAGATCCCGATTTAAAGTGGAAATTATTACCGTCTGTTGATGAACCGATGAATGGATTAAACCGTCTGTTGCTGATTGTCGGATTTTTTCTCCAGAGCGAAGGCAGTGAAAGAATGTTCTCCGTCTTGCAACCAAGCTTACCTTTTGCTTTTGCTGGGTGAGGAGGGGATCTTTTGGGATTTGCTGTCCTTGCAATGACCGAGGAAAAAGACATTGAGGAAAAGAAGTTTGGATCAGATTGCTTTATCTTTCCAGTGATCTCATCGTCCACAACTCTGGTCTCTTAAGTTTCACGAACTCTGTTAGATTCAAAGTCTTAAGGCAGCTTGCTGGCTGCGAATCGATAAGATTAATGTGTTAGTATGTCAAAATTCCGGTCTGTTTTGTTCGCTGTTGCGAAATTGGAACACTTCAACAACAACTCGAAGATGACGATTTCTCGAGCTTCTTTTTCTTCTATTCCAATCATCGGTAATGTTACTCCTGAAAATTCTTTCGGTTTTTTTGGTTTTTATTTTGGTAGTTGTTAATTCTCTTGAATGGACTTGCTCATGATTTTCTTAACTGAGCCTATTCGCGGTTGTAGGGCTTGTAGGAGTATGTAGTGGGCTTGTCAATTGGTTTGTTGTAAGATAGGTAGAAGATGGAACCATCAAGTTGATCCGAAATTACTAACATTGTCATTCTGTTACTGAAGTTTTATAACAAAATAATTGTCACTCTGCTCACCCTTGCTAGATAAGCACGAGGTGATTTAGCCATACTACTGTCTTTGGACACTAATCAAGCCTATAATCAAGCTGGATAAGGTGGCTTGCAATTTGGGTACAGTCTGTGCATAAATTGTCATGTGGAGGATCTACTCTACAACGTATTATTACATTATATTCATAATCAATTTCAAGCACTCTAGAACAAATCGTTCTTCTTTGACAAGGGTGGCAAGGAGCAACAGGCTTTTCTTGCTATTGAATATAATTTAGCACTCGAAAATATCTGCTAAGGACATTCCCACCTACTCATGAGATAGCAGTCACTCGACTAACGAGAGTTAGATTCATCCAGTCCAACATAGTTCTGACAGTCTAGACATCATGAGAGAAATAGATTAGTCCAACTACACTCAATACGAGACGATAACAATTGTTGTACTTGTTGCCGTATACATTAACTGTAAGTAATCTAGACATTTGGAGTGAGGAATTTGACAGGTAAGTTCCATTTAACATTATTATGTCTCCATACTTTAACTGATGTAGATCATGGGACATGACAGCGGTGGTAAATTGTTGTGTTCTATGAGCTAAAGTCTTGGAATGTCATTTACTTCATGCGAGACTTTTAGAATTTTCTAGTTTGTTAAAAAACATGGTTGCCAAGGATTACAGATTTCTCACCTTGGACTTTGTAGCATACAATAAGTCAGAATGAGTTATCATGATGGGTTATCATTGGGGACAACCAATTAATAGAAGAATCAAAATCATGAGACCATCGCGGTATGAAAATATGGTGATGGGGTAGGGAAAATGAATTCTTCCTAATCGTTGGTACACTTCCGTAAGTTGATATACTTTTTAAACAGAAGCCGTTGATAATTTTTTTTGTTTAAAGTTCGAATGCATGTCTTGATTGCTATTAACTTGTACAGAATACTAGAATCAGAATCTTAATGTTCAGTGGAAATATAACAAGTCAAGAATCGATGTTTCTGAAATGCATGATGATGTTCAGATATAAGTCCACTAATCAAGATGAGAAGTCATCCCAAACATTACGATCAAGATGACATGAAAGAGAAGAAAGTAGTCAAGGAGATAGACGAGGCCTGCAGAAAGGTTGGGTTTTTCTACGTGGTGAGTTTGCTTGTTACTTTCCTCTTTATTCACTTGGTTTCGTTGTATACTCTTTTTGATCAGTTGGACTTTGTGCATGATGTGAAGATTACATAGGACCACAATATTATAGTCAAGTAGAGAGATGTGAGATTTTATCCTTGTATCATCTTGTTTCTGCCACATATTTATGTTAAACTTATAGTCAAATGACATTGTATTCTATGAATCTTAATTTTCAACGAGTGTAGCAAGGACATGGAGTTCCTTTTGAGATGATAGACCTCGTTCGGAAACTCGGCCACGACTTTTTCAACCTTTCTACCGAGGAAAAACATACTATCAAAATGACTCAAGCTTCAGGCTGGAGGTATGTATGATGAGATATAAGAATGATGAACAATCGTTTGACAAAGATATATAATAAAGAGATCTGTTAACTATCTTGCGATCCAACATTTTACAGGTAACCTTGAAGTATAACTCAAGTATAACTCCTCTAACATGAGTACTCTGTTTGTTCGTGGAAATTGTTTTCTTAGTTAGAATAACTTGTTCTTCTAACTAAGAGAACGATGTGTTGATAACTTCAAAACATTTTCTTTCTCAAATACATCAATGGTTACTGTCACTCTTCCATGACTGTGTTGTGTGTGGACGGTTTGTTCATCTTGCTAAGGAAACGATGTGTTGAATGACTTCATCGTATCTTAAGTTCTACAAATATTACATCAATGGGTGTGTTTGAACTGTTGTGACGCTTACACGTGGAAAAGAGCATGTGTAACTAATTTTGATGGGTTTTTTGGTAGCAGGGGATATCAAACATTGGGAGAAAATGTCACGAAAGGTATCTCTGACATGCACGAGGCTATTGATGTAAGTCAATAAAATCCTTGAACTATATGCTAAACATATTCATTGATGGAGTAGGAAGAGTATTTGTTTACGTCTTTCTCTACGTCCTTACGTCATATTATTTCTAGGCATGGAACTCGATCTCATAGGTTGAATTGAGGAAGGACTTGGGTTTTATATTGATAGGAGTGAAAGTATTTGTAGGTTATGTGACGGTGGGTATATTGGGGATGAAGAGCATGTATTTGTTACTTGTTCTAGGTACGAAGATATTAGGCTTGCTCATAATATAGATGTGGAGAATTTCTATTCTTTATTACAGTTAGTTCCTTTTTGATTTAGTTTGTTATATTAGGGACATTATTAGTTACCATCTATTGCTCTTGGCACTAGCAAGGGATTGATCTTTGAGGTCTTTTCCCTTGTTTGTGGTTTTTCAGCCATTTGACCCTTTGGGTCCCCCGGGTCCCCCGGGCTTGATCTATTACCATTTACCATTTACCTTAGGTTTCAATATCATATGAAATTACTGCACAGTAACACTAGAGAAATCAGACAGTTTGTTTGAGGCATAGTACAACTAAAAAGTCTTGCCACTTCGTCAGCACAATGAACATCACGCCATACTTCTTCTACTTACTCATATGTAGTGAACAATGCAGTATTTCCGTGATTGCGATGCCGAATTCCCTAGATTGTTGCACGAAGATCATCCCTTAAGTGGTCGTAACTTATGGTATTCTTGCTTACTTTTCTTTCTTGTTTCAGATCCAAATGTGGTTAAATAGAGTAGATAGGGGATGAGACTTTATGGTGGAGACATTTTTCTAACCTACGATAAATCAATGAAGTGAAAAAAAGCTCTGATCTCTTTGGAGTTTAAGATATGTGTTGAAGAAACATGGCTAGCATTAGTATGTGCTGTCATGGATTGAAGACCAAAGATGGATAGCTACAGTAATGCCTAGAGTGATTTCAACTTCATTTTGTCTCAAAAATAGTACTAATCTTATAACAGAGAAGATTATCAGTTGCATTGTCAAGCCAAATTTTGATTACTTCTGTCTCTACTGTAAATGCAGGCCTAGTTCACCAGCAGCATTTCAGCCAGTATATAAGCAGTACCTTACAATTATGCAAGGTGTAAATATTGAGTTATTTATTTTGTTTTGAAGAAATTTTTAGACTTCGACATATTTCTACTGAATCCATCTCATTCAGATTTTATCTGGTAAATATTGTTTTGAGTTTCACCCGTGTAGGATGACGGGTATTATGCCGGTTTTTTTCAATAGTAAATATAGTATAGTCTATAGCTATATCGTGCTTGTCTAAATACATCATATAGACTAGACATTTGCACTGCTGTAACGATCATAATTCTCATCCTCAAACCTGCATGATTTTGTTGATGGTTTGTTCCTGTAGATCTTGGAAGAACCATCTTGGAAGCAATAGGTCTTGCTTTAGTTGGATCACGAGATGCATTTGAAGGAACCAGAGCAGGCAACCCTTTTTGGCTCTTACGTGTCATTGGTTACCCTCCTATGGAGCAGAAGGTTACAGAGGTTGGCTGGTGTGTACATATCTTTCTATAATGATAAGTGTTTAGGCAACGTTTTTATAACAGCTAATTATATTTTTATGACCTATGGTCCAGTTCACCATAAGAATTTAAAGCAACATTGTTGACACACGAACAAACTCGTTCAGCTTTACTCCCACTATTATTGGCCTTGTATTTCTGCTAATAGTTATCATTAAAAGCAGATATGAGGATGTGCTTCTACTTTCATTTACACTTTCAATTTCTGTTTGTTCTTCCAATCTATCTTCATTTGCAGATAGACTAACTTGAATTGGAGTAATCTAAACTAATCATATCTGATTATTCGTTAAACTGATAACCACTTGTTGTTTGCATATACTCGTGTATTCCTCGTCGTTACAACTTTCAGCGGAGAGCACACAGATTATGGTATGTTTCTACCATTATTCTTTAGATTTAGCTGCAGATAATCCAAAAGATGCAGTTCATTGGAAGCATGTTGCGATAACTACACAAGAATGACAAGCAGAAGAACACAATTGTCCATTTAGGCTTTAGGAATGAGTTATTTTATAATCACGAGGCACATCCCTCAGATTCATCATACTTTTTTTCTATAGGAAACTTTCATCGAACATGTTTCCACCTGCTTGCAGCTGGTCCTTACTCGAATTCATTTCAAGCTGATATAGGTGTAAGCAGGAAAAACATGTTTCTATGTTTGTTATGTAGACGAAGACATGTGTTAGTGCGAACGAATGTACCTTTCTAAAGGGATGGTTTGATGTCGTATTTAATGCAGGCCTGCTCACTCTTGTCAATCAGGATGATGGGATCCGAGCCCTTCAGGTTAGATGACAGTCATTTTGAATTCGCTATAGTTGCCTTAGTTTTAAGTGCATATTGGATTGACCTAAACCTAAATGTAACATCCTTCGGTTAACGTAGGTGAAGAACGAAGATGGAGACTGGATATGGGCTGATCCAATCCCCGGAACATTTGTTGTAAATATCGGTGACATGCTGAAGGTACTGTTTCCATGAGATAGTATTATAGAGTTTGATCAGTATGCGGATGATGTCACAGGTAGAATACCTGTGACATCATCCGCACAAGATAAGAACACACTTTACTCGTTGAAGTATGCGACTACAACTTTCCAACTTTCCAACTTTCCATTCTTATCTGTGTGTCTATTATCTGATGATTGGCTGAATGAAACCCCCAGTATGAGACTTGATTGATGACTCCAATCGGATATTGCTCTTTGATCTCGCAGGTATGGAGCAACGGAGAATACATGCCTACGGTGCATCGTGTTCTCAACGATGGTTCCAAGTACAGAGTTTCAGTTCCATACTTTTACGAGGTAAGTTCAACTTGATAGGTTGAGCAAAGGGCGATTTTGTGACGTTCTACCATTTTCTCTTTCTACCCTCTGACACCTTGAGTGTTGCAGCCCAACTTTGATGCAGTTGTTGAACCACTGGATATATGCAAGAAAAGAGCAGAAGGAATCTCAAAATATGCTCCAGTTGTATATGGAGATCATTTGACCAACAAGATACTGAACAACTTCAAATGATGCTTCAGAAGAATTTTAGCTTGACTTTTTTGACTAAAATGCAACCGAACGTAGTTTCAGTGACATGCGACATCTCATATTTGTAGACCAGTAGTTCAAATAAATTCCCCTAACCTGTACCAATTTAGAAAAGAACAGAATCTTTTCACTATTGTCTTACTTCAACCGTACATATATGATTGCATCAAGCCGTTACCAGAAATATTAGACCATTGATTGATCACTTGAAGACGATTGTTCCAAATAATCCTGTCCTTGTACAGTCCTCATCTCCTTATATATAAGCAGGATGCCCAGACTTTCACATTCAGTTGAATTTCATCTGTCCTTCTCGCTTTTCCCTGCTCATTGGAGATATGGTTTTGAAGACTTTATGACGTTGAGAAAATCTTCGTTATTCTAACCCGGATGTACTATGTTTTTTCACCTGATGACGTATTGCACTTTTTTTGCTCACTTTTTGTCGACAAATCGCTGCATTTAGTACTTGGCCAGTCAAATCAGCAAAGGAAGATATTAGATCGTCAAAACATGTAAGGGAGTACCTAAAATTAGCGAGGAGTCTGACACACCGGCCGTATAGACGTTAGATTCTACTATATATAAGGTCTAATTTGTCAACGTCAATTTGCATTTGTTTTGAGGTCTCTCTTAGGACCTGGATATGAAGTTTTGACTTTCAATCTTGAACTCGAAACCAAGTTTCCAGATTTGAACTTCTGAAAGGCACGTTGAAGAATCCTGATGTATGTTAGCATATGGTTGACAAAGTATCTGACGAGTGATTCCGCATCCACTTGCTCCTCTTTCCTCACTCTCGACTCCAACTTTGAACATTTTGCATCTGCTCACGTAGACGTGCTTTACAGATGTCATGACTCGTGAGCACATTTGGTTGCTTCGAGTGTGTCCATAGTATGTTCATGCTTGTGAGAGCAAACACGCGGTTTGTGAAGTGCGTTCATTTACACTAGAAATCAATATAATATTATACTAGAAAAGCACGGTAGAAGCTTAGAAGAATATGTTCCAAAGGTTGTAAGAAGGATATTCAGTTATGGAAAATTCTGTGGCAAGACTCCACAGAAAACCACATGTACATGTAATATTCATGTTAACATCAATAAATTTTCCTTACAGTCGTATTGTAAAGCATATTAAGTCTGAATTGAATGAAAAGATTGAATACTCGCCCATCATTAAGCAAAGTTTTCTGTAAAACTTCAAACTTGGTGATGTTTATTACTCCATCTTTTAAATTCTGCTTCTCAAATGCATGATTTGACCTGAGAAATTTGGTAGATTTTCATCTCTCCATGTTTCATTAGTTTAGGCAAGATATAAAGTAATAAACCTAAAATTTTCATATACTCGGTTCGAATAAACATTTTGCCTTCTATCATATATTATGTAATTATTAGCTTAGTAGGTAGACGTATTCATTCATCGCATGTATACATAAGATTCTTATGAGGACGTCTCGATGTAGAGAGTTCTCTTAGATTTTTATCTCACTCGACCTTTTCGTTTTGGCTCTTTCAAATTATTAAAACTGCATCACTCGAAGCTTGTGACAAGTTCCAATCACATCTATCAATCAGCCAAACTTCACAAGAGACTGTAATTTTTATTTCAAAAAAAAATTAAAAATCATTTGTTAAATTCTCATTCAACCAGAAAATCTCAAAATTTTTACTAAAGTACAATGATTGATCAGAGATTTTTTTAAAAAATGGATTAGATATATGCAGAACATTATGTACAATTGACTTCAAAACTTTAAAATTGTTGCTTCAATCAGTTTAAAATTCACATCTATAGAAATATATTCACGTTTTTATTTTCAAAATTTTTATTGAAATTGTTTTTGGGTAGTATAACTTTAAATTATTATACAAAATTTCTAAGATTTAATTTTGCATCTTTGACTTTGTATCAATTCCAAGCTACTTTTGGACAAGAATTACCCACTAGTGATAGTGAAACACCGATGAGTACACACATTCATGTGGTTCATCTCGTCAGTGTTACGTCCATGGGTAGTGTAAAATGATTTTGATAAAATACGCAACAGCCAAATAGACAAGCAATTGAGGTTTAAATAGTCTAGTGCGAATACACATAACTATGTTCAGATGGTAACTCCAAAAATAGAGTTCCCAATCGCACCAATCTTCCCCTTAACACATGTTATGAGAATAGCAAACTCTATAGCATATACAATTAATTTGCTATAGGTTCCAGAAAGAAACTTAACACAAGTATTATCTCTTAAAAATAATAACTAGTTAACTCTAGTTATAAAGATGCTCTTTATAACTAGAGTTAACTAGAACTAACCTGTAGCAATAACAAGATAAAGTAATAATATAAAAAGATAATTGAAGAAGCTACTAGCAAACTCTACTTGTGCTCTCCATGCAAAACCTGCATAGTAGCACAATGTCATGAGAATATTTCCAAGTGAATAACTTTGGTAATCACATCAACTGGATAATTTTTATCGTCTATGTTAACTAGTACATTTTTTTTTATGAGACATTACTTGTGTGATACGCAATGTCAATGTGTTTCACTCTGTTGTCAGATATAAAGCATTTTGGCTATCATAGTGAAGATTGATCACATAATGTTTCAATCCCATTTTTGTGATAAGCTTCTTTAACCAAATAGCTTCCTTTGCCGCTTTTGTCATAACCACATACTCAACCTCTGTTGTAGACTAACCTACACACTTCTACAAGATAGATCTTCAATTAATGGTTCTACCACCAAGTGTAAACACATACCCAGTTGTAGATGTCCCTTGATTCAGATCTTGTCCGTAATGAACATCAACGTAGCCTAACAATGATTGTCCGACGAACCCTCAAAGAATAAGCCATAATACTTAGTATTTTTCAAATATATGAGAATCCATTTCAATCATTCCCAAAGAACCTATCCTGGATTCAACATGTAATTGCTCACCTTTTCCATCACTAGAGACTATCAAGCCTTGTGCACACCATCAAATACATGAGGTTGACCACAACTTGTTCATAGAGATCACATGTCAGTACATGAAATATTTTTCATATCTCAATGACATTAATAGTATATTCAGATGCAAAAAATCTGAAATATGATGTCAAAGGGGTCCAAATCCTCATTTAAAATCAGCCAGGTTGAACATGTCAAATTTACGTCAAATATACTTGCCATGACTCAACCATAATCTTTTTTTCATCAACTTCCTATGAATATCTATTCCTGATATACCCTTTGACTCTTCTAAATTCTTCATCTTCAATGCTGGCTTCAATTGATTCTTGCATTTATCAACGTCAAATTGGATCTTTGCCAAGATGAGAATGTCATACACGTAGTTTACTAGAATAATAAGATTAAAAATCTTATCATTTAACTTCTTCATGTAGACACAAGAATCATACACACTCCGTGAAAAATCTTGTGCCTTCATGAATTAATCAAAGCGCGTGTTTAACTGCCAAGAAGCTTGCTTCAGTCCATATAATGATTTCAGCAGTCTACAAACCAACCTCTATTTACCTTTCACCTCAAAGCCAATTGGTTGTCTTATGTAGATCTCCTACTCTAAATGCCCATAGAGAAAAGCTGAATCACGTCCATATGATACATAACAAGATTAACTATTGCAGCTAGTGCACATACTAGACAAATTGTAACATAGTTAGCTACGTGAAAAACTTTGTTGTAGTTCACACCTTTCTTCTGTGTGAAACCTCTAGCCACTAACTTGGATTTGAAGATTCTCACTTTGTCACCTATTGGATTATCTTTCAACTTGCACATCCATTTGCAATTAATCAAGGCTTGAACCCTAGGAGGTTCAACTAACTTTAAAGCCTTGTTATCAATCAACAACTACATCTCACGATCCATAGCAACATTCAACTCAAGCTCATTGATCAAAGCTTGAGATTATCTATAAAAAAAGGTTGCACTTCTTTCAAGATCAATGTAGTGTCATCATTATCATCCTCTATATCAAGATCTTCAAGAATGAATAAATCAGCCCATTCATCATACCTATCAATAACTTTACTAGTCGGATTCCATGATTTTCTAGAAGAGATAAAGTACTTGATACCACACGTTAATCTCACATGTGGTAAATGTGTATGTAGACAAAAGATTTTCAAAAAGTAAAGCTAATACCAGTCATTTCCACTGACTGGTATTAGCTTTGCTTTTGTCGTGTAGTTGTTAGGATTCAAGTACGGAAGTTCATCCAAGCTGCTGCTTCTTCTCACGACAGTGTTTGAATCTTATCAAGCTCCATGAAAATGGTGAATTGAAATGCTTTTTTCTCAATTTTTGACTCACCGATCGGAACATATTGCAAGTCACCAGCATTAAGTAAGGCTAAGGCTAACAGAAAACTGAATATATCAACGCGATGCGAATAAAGTGGGAGAGAAGAAAGAATAAAGCTTCTACGAGGTTCATTCTTTTTGTTGCCATGTGGTATGTTTTGTGTTTTTTATAAGAAAAAGATAAAACATTGAGAGTTCAAATGGCGCCCTAAATCACGATGTCTTTGAAACTACCTCTAGATTCCATTTTATATTGCTTAGACTTTTACTTTTATGATTCAACATTTAGAAAAATTGTCCACAAATTTCTAAAGGTACACGAGTTGATCTAAACCAGAAACTTAATATATTTGCAATAGAATCGTATTGTTGTAATGCCAGACAAATACCAAAATGGAGTATAATGGTACAGATTTGATCCCACGAGGACAAAAACAATCAAAAAAGTCACGATTTGTCACAGTATAACATTCTATTAAAGAATTTCACTTCTTAGGCCAATGCCACTCCCAGAAGACACTATCCAGCTAGAGCCGAAGACCCGCTAAGTAATGCATAATCACAACCACAGCCTGAAACTTTTCCAATCCACACCTGTAGGAATCGCTTGCAATTCCACACTTATATTTCAGGGGGAAAACTTCCCAGCATTGCATACATCCGGACACATTAACCCGAATACTCAAACTTGAACTTGCTTAAATCCCAAGAAGCCTCGGTTACTCAGAACATTCAAGCCGAATACACACAACTCCTGATGCGGTAACTTCGACAAACAGGAGGGCATCGTGCTCAATGTTTGGATCACACACCAGCACACAGACACAGTGGATACAAGTTTACAGTCAAGACAAGCCAATTAACAAAAAAGCCCCCCAAGGAAAGAGCATTGGGTCTCTTTATTCACAATGGCAACTCTGAGATATCAACCGCCTGAGGCGAATTGGTCTCAGGGGCTGTGCCGTCCGATGTAATGGTTACGGTGTCATCTGAACTTACATCTACTCCTAGCCTACGCAACACGTTTACAATCTCTACTTCTACATTCTGGCGCGCCTCATTCAATTCCTCTGAAAATGTGTTAACTAGCTCTACAATCTGTTTGTGTCTGGCGGATCCGCTGCTCTTGGCGCTCATCAACCGTCGCTCGAGCGAATCTAACTTCAGCCACTTCACCGTTTGCAATCCCCACATCGCGAACCCATTCAGACACTTCTCTAACCGCAACTTCAACCCGTCGGTTGTCTCGTCCCGCAGATGACGGTAGGCCTACTTTGCCTTTTTCATTCTTCTTTGCGACTCTTGCGTTCTCATGTCCACCTTACCTAACTGCTCCCGCAACCGTCGACATTCCGATTCAACCTTCAATTTACATTCGACCTCCGAAGTTTTGGCCGATTCACAATCCGTCAATTTCTTGGCCCAATTCGCCAATTCCTCCTCATGCTTCCGGACCTCCTCCGTCAGACTTGCTAAAAGCTACTCCGCACGTCGGAATTCCGCCTCACACTTACCCTTAATCTCTGAAACCTTGCGACGAAGATCTTCCGCCGTCTTCGCCTCTGCAATTTTGCCCTGAAGTTCTTTGACGATGCGAACTTCTTCAACTCTTCGGGCTTCCAATGTAGCAAGTTACTTGATATGTTTCTTCTCTCGCTTCTCCGCAGTGGTGATCACTCGCTCCGATTGCTTAATTGCCTCATCATATGCTTCCCTAGATTTCTCCAACCT